GAAAAAAATGAAAACCCCACAGATTTCTAAAGCTTTTCTGCCTTTGAGTAATAAGGAGGGGAAAAAAAAAAGAAAGGAAAGAATTGTTTCAAGTCAAAGCAGGTAACTGTTCCAGGGCATTGCCACACTGGAAGAGAATTTCAATACTTAATTTTAATTTCTATCAACAGAGAAAACTCATAATCATTCTTATCTCCTAAAATAGCTTGTTAAACATGAATAAAGCTTATTGCTGAAACAGGCTGTATCTGGGAAGGAATCATAAGCAGAAACGTGTTTTAATTACCTTTTTCCAATATCTTCAGCCAAAAGTTAATTTTAATGAGAAGAAAAACTTAGATTTTTTTTTTTCCCCTTTTGATTTCCTGTGGATTTTGTTTGTTGTTTTGTGTCAAGCAGTCAAAAAGAGTTTTGGAGATGAATTTGCCCATCAGGACAACACAGAACAGTTTCAAAGTTGAGGTGTTCCTTTTCAGAAAGTCATTTCCAGTTCATACAAAGAAATGCAGAGAAAGCCACCTGAATTCAGTGTCAGAAATTCTGGGTGATGAACACTTCATAACTGATGTGCTCCAAACCATAACAACCACTGGAAAAAAGTGGATTCTTTAAGTCTTTCCACAGTAAAGTATTGACTCTATCATCCTTGAGGACACTTGCACTTACCTAACAGCAAAATTTAAACTGAGTTTGACAGATGGTGTTTACCAAGCTTTTTTTTAGCCCTTCAGAAAAACAAACCAACAGAAAACAGCTCCCAGCACAAGTATCTGTGTCTAGGAGAGGCATGGATATCATCCCACCTTTGACTGAGACACCGAGGTTGTGAATGAGCCCTTGATTCAGTGCCAACTGTAAACATTGGTGCTCAGAAAAGCAAAATATTTATCAGTTAAGATCCAGGATGACAAATTATTCACAAACTTGAGAAGAACTCCATTTTGTTTTCTGAGTGGCTGAAACCAAAACAAATACCTTACAAACAACGAGGACAGAGAAAGGAGAATAACACTCACAATCCAGTACTGAAACATGCAAGAAGAAAACTCCAGCAGAAATAATACCAGTTATCAAAACTTTATCCATATCAAAATATTGGGAGGAAATCCTCAAAATTGCATGTGATATCTAAAAGATCCTGCTCAGACTGTTCAGCCCAAACACTCAGGATGCCCACTGGCATTACCCTGTGAATTTCCAAGGGACAAGAAGCACATGCTGCTGAGGGTGGACATGCTTGAAATATAAGTACAGCATTAAAAGTTTGTTATTCCATCTTAATTGTTGGAAGTTTGAAGCCAGTGGTGCTGAAAGAAGCCAGAAGAACAAGGCTAATTTAGCTCTGCCTTGTCAGATTTTGATACTTCTGTACTCCAGATAGCCTTAAAGTGATTATTATCTGAGCCCTCCTCAGCTGACATTAGCAGGCTGATCAGAAAGACTGCACTTGAGTAGAACTAAACTCTTTCTTTTTCAAAAATTATCTAATACTCGTGATTTCTCTTGCTTTTCTGTAATTTTTTTTTTTTAGTATCTGATGCTATTATGCTAAGATGAAGAAGAATTTTGATGAAGAGCAATAGAAAAATTAAATTAGCACATTTCAAAGCCTTTGTAAGGCAGTCTCAGAGAAAGACAAAAAATGCCAAATGAGTGAAAAGTCTCATATTAATATAGAGATTTTGATAGATTTTGAAAAAAAAATATCTGAGTACTAGCAAATATCTTTTACTGCCTTTTTTCCCGTTCATATTTCCCAGTTCCTTCCCCCCTTACCTAAACATGTTCTTTTAGGATTGTAGAAAGTTGCCAAATGTTTTTTTTACCAATACACCTTTGGAGATTTTCTTGTGTTTTTAAAAGAAAAACAGAAAATGGGGGGGGAAAAAAATAAAATCAATTCTTTAAATAGTCAAGGACAAAGAAGAGAAACTATGTTTAACTAAAACTGTCTCAAAATCAAGGCAGGGCACTAAAAATGCCAGCCAGTTACATATGCTCCACGGCTCCCTACTATATAAATCCTCAGCACTGCTGTGTTCCTTTCCTGGTGGATGTAGAAGTATTAGCTGCAATTTGTCACTGCGTTATGTCAGGGAGGGAAGGTTTGCTCTTAAAATGCCACTTGGAGAGTAAACAGCAGCCTGCAGAGCAGGATTTGTTTATATCACTTTGGGTACGATGAATAACACACTTAGAAAGATATATTGAATATGAAACATGGAAGTGTAAAAGTTGTGACTTGTGTTAAATATTCACTGCCATTGCTGCCAGAACTGGGATATGCAGCTCGTGTATTTCAGGCAAAGCCAGCACAGGTCACTGCTGTATATCCCAGCTGAAGCCTTCTGTGCTTTGCTGCTTCTCCTTTTCCCTCCTCTCCATCCATCCAATGTTTCTGTGCTCTGCCCAGGAGTCACCACACCTTGGCCAAGAGCTCCCTGGCTTCCCTGGATTCCTGTGGGATGGGTGGGTGTTATCCACAGGGCTGTTATCCACAGGGCTGTTATCCACAGGTACACACACCCCCACACCCCAAGGACTGAGCCCCCCCAGGCTGCTGAAAGCGAGATTTCTGCACAGACATTGAGTTCCATTAACACCGTCTGCTCTCCACCCACACAAAGCAGAAAACCCCCAAACACTGAATGTTAAGCTGCCTGTAAGTAACACGAGAATGAAAATATTCAAGAGACACAAAGAGCATTTTCCCTCTAAGAAAATGAGAAATCACACAATGTATCTTCCAGTGCACATCACAAGCGTCCTGGGACACGATGGAGACGTCTCTGGAAGCACCAGAGTGGAAGAAGTTCCTCTAATGAAGCAGTAAAACTACAGCTGTACCACACCACAGTCAATAATTACTGGCATCTAAGGCTACAGGGGAATTCACTATAGATTCATATATGTGTGAGGAAAAGCTATTTAATCCATAGGAACATAATGGCTGCACTGACCTTTCCTCACTGCTGCCTCACCTTCACAGGCTGCTGCAGGTGCTCGTGGCTGGGAGCAGCTGCTCCCACACATTCCCTGCATTTAAAAAGGCTCCAGGAGCACCCTCTGACCCCAACATCACCTGGGGGCAGCTGCAGCCCCCTCCCCTTCCCTTGGAGCCCTTGGGATTGTTCTTCATGCTGAAGAACCCAATGTTCAAAGTCTGAAATCTGCCCCTAAGTTGGGTGTGCTCCCAGGGCGATGCTGGGATGCAGCCGAAAGCTTCAGTCAGGTGTTGGGAAGAGTTCCTGTGTGCTGGAGCTCAGATTGCAGAGGGCCAGGGGAAGAGAAATGAGAGACACAATATAAGAATAAAGCGTCTTTAACATTATAGACTATGTTGTACAGTGTGTCACTCCTTAAAACCACAACTCTGGCTTCTCCCTGCCCATTCCCCGCTCTGAGGAGACTGGAATTTGTTGCTGTTGCATCTTTACAACACACAACAGTCCCTCCCTGAGAGGCTGGGAGGCTGCACAGCACTTCTAAGTGTATAAATCACATGAAAACATCTGAAATATTATTATTGGTTGGCAAATGACTTAAAGCAGAAAGGCAGCAGGTTAAGATTAGATGTTAGGATGAAATCAGTCCCTGTGAGGGAGGTGAGGTCCTGGCACAGGGTGCTCAGAGAAGCTGTGGCTGCCTCTGGGTCCCTGGAAGTGTCCAAGGACTGGGCTTGGAGCAGCCTGGGATGGTTGAAGTTTTCCCTTCCCATGGCAGGGGGTGGCACTGGATGATCTCTGAGTTCCCTTCCAGCCAAGGCCATTCTATGATAAATCTAAATACTGCTATAGAAAAGAGTTATTTCTTTATCTAATGTAAATTCTGTTTTACAGGGCTTTACAGTGCATGAAAAGAGATGCAGATTTTGTTTCAAATTTAGTCATGTGTCCACCTGCAAGAATTAATTTTAGTGAGTCATTTGGCAAAGACTAATTGAGCTGATCTACATTATACAAGAGCAAAGACCTAATGGAGTCTAAGACGTGTTGTTGTGTATATTATCACATAAAACATCTCACAGACAGATAATTCTTTAATGGGATTTAAATGTTCAGGTTTTAGAGGCACTGGTTAGAGCTCAGCAAAGGCACTGCAGCATGCAAATCCCCAGAATCGCTGGTTTCACAACACGGTTCCACTCACGGGTTCTGCACAAGATTGATTGGGTGCCTTGCTTCTCCCAGGCAAAAATACAAACCCAGTCCAAACTCAGTGGAGTTGAGATTTAATAGAGAAGGCTCCTGTTGAATGTAAATGTAACTCACAGATAGATTCTAAGGTCTGGCTGTACCTCTGCTGCTCCAGCCAAGGTTGTTATTTTATTATATTTCTATCAATTTCCTGGCTGTGCTCAGGGTGTGAGAGTTCAGGAGAATCCAGGGAGCCGTGGGGAATCTGGGGGGATCCAGGGGGAGCAGGAGGAGCTGCCTAATGACTCCTACAAAAACACTCCTCTGCTGTTCTCCACTGAGAGATAAATGAATCACAGGACATGAGCAGATCGAGGTGCCTTCTGCAAACTTACTTGTACCACGTTAGAAACAGATATTTCACAATTCATCATTTCACAAAGCAAAATAGGCGGTAAAGGAACTTATTTTGAAGTATGTTAAGGGTTTCAAAAAGCTCAGAAAGCACTGGGTGCTGTGCCCAGGGTTTTCCAAAAATACAGTGGATGGCACAGAATCCATAAATGCTGAAGCTGGAAGGAACTTGTGGAGATCATCTTCTCCCACCCAGGGTCATTTAGGTGCTAGACCACAGGTAAGATATTCAGCACACCTCTAGATACTTGAATAATTTTTTAAAAAGCTGTTATAAGTAAGTTGGAGAGGTTTCATGCTTAAATTAAACATTATTTTTCATATATATAAGGCCTACCATGAGACTAGGTAGTGAGAAAAAGGATATATCCCATATTAATATTCCACAATGCTGGGGCTCATCCTTATGACAAAGATTTTAATGTGAACAGAAAAAAAAATCCAATTAAATCATCATTATTACAGTGTTTTAATTAAGTCAGTTCCTTTGTTTAAGACTAAATTTCTGAGCTTTAAGACTTTTTTTTTTAAATATAAACCTGCAAAAATTGTTCTAATTATCAGTTAGTTTTACACTTCCTGGGTTTATTTTACATAAATGCAATTTACCTAAATGGTTTTGTGCCAAACATTTAGTTTGTTTGGGGACTTTTTTTTTGTTTTGATGCAATATAAACCCTTGAAGAAAGAATTTCTTAACCTTTTCTAACTGAATCCATGCTGTACCCAAATGTCCCAGCGTGGCTCTGACTGCCCATTCCTAAGGCATATACTGGAACCGATTCCAGAAGAGATGAGGCTGGAAATCTCCCTCTCCCAAATCCAGGAATCCTCCCACAGGAGCTGCCCAGAGCCTGTGTGGCTGCTCCCAACCCTCCAACCTGAGCAGGGCTTTCCTGAGGTTGTAGCTCCAGCTCACAGTCCAAACCCACTGGAGCCCTGTAATGGTATTTTAGAGCCTCAGACGAATTTATCCAAATGAAAGACTGAACAGTCCCCATGACCTGAGCACTTTTAAGCTTTCTTCCATTCACTGCTCTGCCCAGGTCAGGTCTCACCTCCTGCTTTAACAGAATGCACCCAGCAAGGGAGATGGGGCTGCATGGAGATGAGGCTGTAGTGTCAGGCAGCACGAGGAGCCTGAGCAGCAGAACAGAGCCTTTCAACTCCAGTCTGGCTGCTATTAAAATCAAACCAAAAAACGAGAGCCTTTCATCCTCATTCAGCCCAGAGTACTGGCTTAAAATAGAATCTAATTTTGGCTGGTATCAAATATTTTAACATTAAAGGTTCTATTAATACCATTCAATAATATATGCCTTTTTAACGTAGAACACATAGGTCAATTTTTGATTAAGATTAAAACTTCTCCATGAGAAATGACTTCATTCTGCCCCCTGATTAATAGATCAGTCTATTTTTCATATGTTTAAATAAATAAGTATGAGAGTGTATCAAAGAGGCGAGCCTAACTAGGCAGGCTATGAAAATATCACGCTCAGGGAAGTCCATCAAACTTAAGCTGCAATTCCAGCACTGCTGCTCCTGCATTTCTGCAGCAATGCAGAAAGGGGGGCACAGATCCTTCAGTGTGGAAGGAAACATTGCTCTGTCAAGCTTTCCATTCACAGCTTTAACAGCACAGCTACAATTTCTCCTTACAAGAAAATCACCACCATGCAGCTCCACATCTATCATTTCATGGTGTTCTTCCCATTTTTGATTCAGCATTTATGAGCTTGCTTTTAGCTAGGAGTTTATTATTATCCATTTATAGGAAGCCAACAAACTAGTAAATTATGTATTTGAAAGCCCTGCTGGCTGACATTTTTAAAGTTCATTGGATTTTTTATTTTTTTTTCCTTTTGCAGAGTAGAAATTTGTAGCAAACACTCAAGATCTGATAACTGATTCCCATTTAGATGTCATTGAGACATAAGTGCAATGTATTTTCATTAATATTTCATCGTGTAAGTGTTCCTTGCTCTGACATTGCCATCTTGTAGTTATTTGTCCCCCATCTAAAGAGCAACTTGTAATCAGATCGGGATATTGGACTTCATTATCTGTCACCACACATTCTTAGCACAGAGAATGTTATTAAGTTATAATTGCCTCTGTTTTTCCCTTACGGGAAGATGAAGAACAATAGACAACAATACATGGACTCATTAAGGAACAAAAAAACCCAGGTTGACAACAGGCATAAAACTGGCAAATACATCAAGGTGGAGCCAAAACTTTTACTCCACTTGTGGTGGTTTTTTGTGGCCTGATGGGCTCAAGATGTTTAAGGAACTCATGGAAGAGCAGCTGCAGGGTGGTGAAACCATGACACCACTAAACACAGCCCACACTTAACTTAAAAATGAAGACAAGCTGCGTTTTGAAGGTAGCACAACATTTTGTGATTGATTTGTGATTTTATATCAAAATACCGTGGTTTTTATAACCAAATGTGACAACACAAGATGGACATTAATTGAACAGCCATAAGTAAATACCTTTTAAAATAAAAATATAAAAATTCTTGGTTTTGCTTTTGAAATTGATGTCAGCCTAAGAAATAGAAAATAAATGGCAGTACCAGGAATTTTCAGTGAGATTACTTCAACATGTTATGTAAGAAATTGTTTAAACAACAAGTCCCTGAACTGTTTCAACAATTGGAAATATAACTTGTAGGTGCAGATGTACATCTTTTCCATCCTCCACAAGATGAAGTTCTGGTCTGTGTTACATCAGGGTAAATTACATAATCCAGAGTTAAATGAAAAAGAAGAATCCCACTTTAAATAACTGAAATGGAAAGTAACACTTAAGAAGGTTTCTCAGTAAAAAGTTTCTGATTATCTACCATTAAGAATTTTATAGGCAAAGAAAGAGAAGCTGTCACACTTCATCATAGCTGGGGATGACTGTCTATTAGAGTTGCCAGTGAAGCAGCAATTTGGTAGCAGTTAAAGGAAATTTTGAAGCTCAGTAACAGACACTGCACATCTTCCGTGTTTTCCAAGTCAATATTCAGGATGATTTAAAGATGCTGATGCTTCAGGAGCTGAGGAGGAGCCCAGGTGAGCATCCAGCAGCATCCTCCCATCGTGAGCACTGCAGAACCCACTGGGTCTCCAGGGGCAAACTGGGTCCATATCCCGTCTCTCCTCTTCCTTCCACCACCAAATCAGGTTGTTCCCTCTGTGGAGAGGAAGAAGATGTCATAAAACAAGTTATGTTAATGCTTTGCCATCAGGAAATTTTAAATTTGCCATACAAATCCTGCACAGTTCCTGGATGGCTTCCTTAAGTCTTCAGAGAGGTACCCAGCCTCTAAATATATTGTATTATATTTCCACTTTATAGTGTGCTATAGATTTCTTGTATTAGCAATAACTAACTGCATTGTGAAAGTTATTGAGGGAGCAGCTGCAGAATTTGAATCCTGTGTGGGAATGGAGTGGTGTTTCTGGCACAGGGGAAGGAATAAAAAGTGTTTGGGGCCTCAGGGAAGTTTCTGTGAAAGAACAACACTAAAATGATTTCAGTTGTTACCTTTAGGTTTCAGTCCCAAGCCCAAGCTTTGCTGCTGTGAAGTAATGCTCCACATTGTCTGCAGGCTCCAACTGCTCCTTCTCTGAGGCTATATTTGCTCTGTTCTGATTTTCCCACCCCCCAAGGATCTGTACTAGATACTGCACAAATAGCTGGGGAGGTTTGGGCTGGATGGCCCCTGGTAGAACACACTTAATCAGACATGGACAGGAAACATCATGTCAAGTTTCTCCTTTATGTTTATCATCACCACAGCAGGATCATCCACACTGAGGCTCAGGTGACAAATGCCCACAGATACCTGTAAGGTAAAAAACAATCTGTGATAAGCAGGGACACAAAACTGGTAGCTGAGCCATGTTGGGGATGCCAGAAACAAATAGAAAAAATTACTGTATTTCATAGAAAACAAATGGTGTTCAGATGTAATTGTCATGAGGGCTGATATTACATTTTAACAAAGAGTTTAAATCACAGCCCACCCTGCTGAAATGCACAACATGATCAATAGTGAAGCAGAGTCAGCAAGAAGGAAATAATGATTACATCCACACAGGCTGAAACTCAGATTTTCCTCTGTGCACGGGGCTACAGCATCTCCATTCTACTACCACATATTGAAAAAAGAAATATTCACCAGTAGTCAGAGTGCTTTGTTCTGTCATCAATAACCTGTGTCCACAATTACAGCCCAGTCAGTGGATTGCATTCATAGGTCACACTGGTGTGTAAAATCACTTGTAGGTGTAAGAGATACAAGGATGAAAAGTCATCTTTCTTAAGACATCTTGTACAACTACATAAATAATAATATAAATATAAATAAAACTAAAAAATATCTAAAGCAATTCTTAAAATGAAAACCTTTGACAGCTATTTCTGTGTACAGTACCTTTTTTACAGCTCAGTTCTTCCTCTTCCTATTTAAAAGATCCTTATTTTGATAGGGACATCAGAAAGGACCTGAGACTCTCAGCTTTTATCAAGTAATTTTCTGCATGCCCATCCAGAGTTTCTCAAAAGGTGCAGAGTCCTTTAGATGGTGATTGTACAGCAGCTGGTTAATGGTGTTGTGCTCCTTATTGGTACCATTCACTCTTCCATCAAGTTCTGTTCAGAAAAGAAGAAAGCAGATTCAAGTTACCACTTTGAACCATTTCTAATACCAGTGTTCAGACATTTTAGATAACCTTTTTTTCTCTTTGAGAAGGGACATAACAATCATTGGTTCAGCTGGAGCTGAGCCACTTTCATAATTATAAGACAAAACATCACAAACCAATTGGCATTTCAGTGTAGCAAAATCCCAATTCTGGCATTCCGGAATGTTTCCTCGGAAATTGGATACAATACTTCTGGGATCGGTTTATTAAATTTGTCCCACATAGACTCTGACCTTTCAAAACACAGAAAAGATCACGTGGCAAATCACTCTCAGGAGTGACTTTTATTTGGCTCTGACCTCTCCCTGTGACCTTGGGAGAAATGTTTTATGTAGAGACAGCAGAGCAGCTCTATTTCTTTTATTCTTTGAAATGGCAGAAACAATAATTTTTGAATATTCATACAGCTCTCTTTAAATATATATGCAGAGCAGACTATTGCATGAGACTTCTACAATCCTTGATCATTTACCATACAGGTCAGTGGAAAACATCCATAATTTAGATCCAATTTCCATCTTTGCAAGTCCAGAGAACACAACTTCTGACAATGACTTCTATTAAAAATGGTAGAATATGAGATGCTATTGTGCATTTATAGGGCAGCAATTCTGCATGGAACTATTTTGCTGGAATTCTACATTTATAACTTCTGCTTTCCTTCTCTTTAAATGTATTGATTTTATCAGGTATTACAAATGGACCCGACAGCCTGCTGTGGTTGAGGCTGTACAGTTATTTGTGTAGCTTCTTGTAATGGTTAAATTTTAATTATTGCAGCTGGAATTACCTTCTAGAAATCTCTCCCATGATTTTTGAAAGGCTGGGCTGATCTGTTTCCAGCAAGGAAACAATAACTCTGAGCTGATTATATCGGGACACATGCAAGGTTTTCCCTTGGCCCTTGGTTTGAAACAGAACTGGAAAGTTGATGGGATGAATTGTAGTGCAGTGAAAGAGATTCCTGAATCTGCCCTTATGAGAAGATATTCACATTTTACATGGGTAAACCCCTAAAAATCACCAATTGTACAATTGCTAATCTTTCCTTTGGATTTCACTGCTAACTTTTCAAACTCTGTCTATGCTGAGCAGGAGCCAGAAGCCATCACAGGCCCATGAGACATGCAAGGCAGAAGATAAATGGGTACACACATATACCAAGGGAATAGAAATAAATAATTTTTTATATATCTTAATTTTCTTGCAATGATGTTAGAAAACCAAGTGTATTAATGAATAATATCAACAGGAAAAAACAAACCTTAGGAAGAAAAGAAAGCATACTGGTTGTTTTGGTGCAAGAACTGAAAAGAAGTTGTAAAATCGCAAGGTACAATCAGAAAATATAATTTATTCCAGGTATCAGAAGGCACCAGCAAACAAATTCACTGACAAATTAAGCACAGGTGTCAAACAAAATCCTTGTATTAGTTTGTCATCCTGAGAGACAAAAGTTTTTTTTAATATAAGCAAAATGTTCTGAAGATTTTTTTGATACATTGACCACTGAACACCCACTTGCCTCTGCTAAGGTGGGCATGTACAGAATGCAGCCATGAGGAAAGAACTGGAAAGGAGCCACTCAAGGGTGAAGATCAGTAAAATTCAGCTATTTTTATTGTGTCTGGGGCTTTGCCACCCAAATTTATGGAGAGCTTTGAGTCCCACCATCCGTCATAGACAAATTCTGCAAAGACAGAAGATGGAACTGTGTGTTCCAGCACAGAACATAATTCTCTCTCCTTGCATAGAGCTATTTTTGCTTTTTTCCCTTTCATTATAATGATGATAATCTGTAGCTCCTTATCCCCATGTCTTCAAACCTGATTTTTAAAAGCTCCTTAACATGACATTGTTACACAGACACACACTCACCCCTCTTTCAGTGCATCTGTTCCAGCCAAAACACGAGTCACAGGCATGCCAGAAGCTCCCAAATAATCTCATTAATACATGTGAGTGTTCTCCTGTGCCTTCATGTACATCTGTGCTTCAGCCCTGATCAGACATTGCCTAGCAATGCTGCCAGGGTCAGACTTTATTTTTCCTCACCAAAATTGTCATGCTGAGAACAGCACAGGCTGCAGACTGATCCAGGCAATCACATCTGATTCCTGAGCTGCTGGTCATGAGGAATCAAAATAGACATTTGTTTGATGGATAAATCCAAATATATTGGGGAAATGCACACTGTGAGCACGTTTCATTTGACTGTTTCCATCAGAGTCGGTGCCTTTTAATTAGGGGATGCCTGAACAAACACAGCAATGTTTGCTGGAGCTGATGGAAAAGATGGCTCGACATAAAGTACGATACTGCATCGAGTAACGTTAGTGAAAAGCAAACATCCCAGTCTCTCTCTGCCCCTGCACTCAGCTGGAAGATGGAATTATGACTGCCACAATCTCTCTCTTCAAGGAGAGAAGGAGAATTGGAGTGGGACCTCCTGAGCCCACAGAGCTCAGCTCTGCTGCTGCCTTTGCTGATGTGGACTCCCCAGTTTAGCTCAGCCTTGGCTCCAACCCACCTACACACAGGGCTGAGATGGGAAGGGTGTCCTACTAAATACTGTGCTGATTGACTTTCTTACCTGGTCCTAGGTGGAAGCTGCAGGTAAGTACATCCTTCAAAACTCAACCTGAAGCAGACACAGCAAGGTGAGAAAAGATGTGAGAGTGGTGGATCCCTTGGACTTTGGGAACTACAGTACAAGCTGGCTTTAAATCAAGATATCATGTCAGATGGTGCTCATTTTTCTAAGCCTTCTGCTCTCTAGGCTGTTGGATTTGCAGTTTACTTTCTATTATTACTTTTTTATTAGGAAAACTTAAATCCTGTTGAGAAGAGCTTATTTAGGTTGAGCTGTCGTTTTTAGCTTCAGAACATTAAGTCCTGACAAATGCTTCTTTTGAAGTCTGACACCTGTTTGTTTGGCATTTCCCACTTTCAGGAACTCACTAGACTATAATAATACTCAGCACAGCAGAAGTAAAGAGAATGAATTAAAGCAGAAATGCTTTCAGACGTGAAAGAGCAGTACAATAGAACATCCCTTTGCTCAGTAGTTCCGAGAGGACCTCAGATGATCTCAGCTTTAAGCTGTAGGGTTTTTTTTGTAATGGGATTCTAATGCCCATGAAACAACTAAGAGCAGCAACCCTAGAGACCAGAAAATTCTCTCTTAAAACATCTACAAAACAGCAGGAGAAACTGAGTTTCTTTGCAGACTCCTTTAGAAGTCGAGAGAAATGTCCTTATTATCAGACCAAATATCAGGTATCTGCTCCTTTTGTAATTGAAGTGTTGGAGGAGAATTTATGTTTATAAATGTTTATAAATACTCAGAGATGGGACTCTGATGGATTTTCTTTTACATTTGGCTTCATGAGGATTTTGATGGTAAGTTCCTTCAAATAATGATTTACCAGTTTGGGGGGAGTCTACATTTAGAAGAGAATCTGTATCCCACTTAAATCAATTAAGGAAACTCTCTTGAACTCTCCCTAAGCTTAGAGCTGACCCACAGGGCATGAATCAAAATTTCTTTACCTCTGCCATGTACTTAGCCATCACACCTATTGTTTTTATTTTATTCACCAGAGTTTCAGGTCAGAATTTACAAGTGAAATTGAGTAATATGGTCATTAGGAAGTGGGTGCTTGAATTAATTCCTTTAAAAGAATTCACCTCATCTGGATATTTCAAAATCTGCTTTTAATCTTACAAAATGGATTCAACACAGACAATATATTTTTTTTTTTTCCGATGGCCAACAACATATTCATTTTTTTGTGCAAGTTTCCCAATGATGGAATATATATTCAATCATGTTCTGAAAACTGCAGGAATCTTAAACAAAACCAGCTAGATTTACCTCATTAAAGAGATGACAAAAAATCCTTTCAAAACTAGATTACAGGGAGCACTGCAATAGTTCTCTAATTCTATTCTAAAAAAGTGGCTAAAATATATAAAATCTATTTAGAATAGTTTTACACTACAGCAAACTTTCTGATCAAACTGACTATCCTTCAGGAGTGTATTTTTCCATCAATTTTAAGCAGTGCTTGCACCTACTGGGGATGGAGCTCTATCCTTTTTAAGAGCACTCAGCACATCCTTTATAACACTGGTTTCATCTTTTCCCAAATTTGCTAATCTGAAATATCCCATACAAAGCTCTGCCTTAGAATGGCATTCTGGTGAAAATTCATCTCTGACACTTGAGGAGATTCTGTAAATAAGATTAAAGAGAAAATGGATTTATGAAAAGGATGTACAAGTACTCTGAGGTGCAGAGCTGGGCTCCCCAGCCGGCTGTTCCAGAGAAAACACAACTCCTCATGGCAAGAGCAGCCTTTGCATGGCAGATCCTTTAGTTACACATCATTAACCAGCCAGGTTGTGCAGAAGGAAATGGGAAATATCCCTTTTCCCTGCGCAGCTTTACCACAAAGGTGTCTGATGGAGAATGGGGCCATGCCCTGCCCCTTGGCCTTGCTGCACCCACAGCGAGGTCTCTGTTCCCCTTGGGTGCAAATCTGAGTGGGGGTCCTTGCTGGGGAAAACTGGGTGTATTTTCACTTATGGGACCCCAAACACATCCCCTGTGAGCCTGTTGCTGCCTCAGGGGTCTCCACGCAACAGATTTCCATCAGAAGATTCCCACTCCACCACCTCTGAGCAGGAACTTGTCAGCCCGCAGTTTTTGTGCCTGTTTATTTCTACCCATGGAAAGGTCACATTTATTTATGTGGGTAGATGTGAAAAGTAGTTTTTTGTGGTTGGTAGTGAGCAAATTTTAAAAGATAGTGATTAGAATATTATGCAAACATATACACAGATATATACACATTTTAATATAAATAGATAGATAGATAGATAGATAGATAGATAGATAGATAGATAGATAGATAGATACATTTATAAGCTAAATATCAGTTC